TGCTGTGGACCTGGCCAACATGTTGATTTCTGCCTGATGTGTTTTGGAGTGGAAAAATCCAGCCATACTGTGCTCAGACTTTTGACCTACAGAAACTGTGAGGGATTCAATTTGTATGGATTTAAGCCACTCTTGTAGTGACTTGTTATCTAGTAGTAGAAAACTGAAACCTATATGCTATTGGTAGATTTTAGGGGCTCAGATGATGCAAAAGATATTATTTCATCGTAGAAATTATTGAGAGAGAGCAAGAGTGAGCGAGAGAGAGATATAGAGAGAGCTTCCATCTGCTCATTCACCACCCTGAAATACCCACAATGGTTGGTGCTAGACCAGGCTGGTCAGGAGCCAGGAACTCAATCCAGGTCTGCTACATAAGTGGTAGGGACTCAGTTACCTGAACCATCACCTGCTGGCTCCCAGGATGCTCATTAGCAGGAAGCACGAACCAGGAGCAGAGCTGGGAATCCAAACCAGACCCTCTGATATGGAATACAGGGTACCAAGTGGAACCTTTTTTTTTTTTTTTTGACAGGCAGTGAGAGAGAGAGACAGAGAGAAAGGTCTTCCTTTACCGTTGGTTCACCCTCCAATGGCTGCTGCGGCTGGCGCGCTGCAGCCGGCACATTGCACTGATCCGAAGCTAGGAGCCAGGTGCTTCTCCTGGTCTCCAATGCGGGTGCAGGACTCAAGCACTTGGGCCATCCTCCACTGCACTCCCTGGCCACAGCAGAGAGCTGGCCTGGAAGAGGGGCAACTGGGACAGAATCCAGCACCCCGACTGGGACTAGAACCTGGTGTGCCAGTGCCGCTAGGTGGAGGATTAGCCTATTGAGCCATGGTGCTGGCCTGGAATCTTTTTTTTAAGATTTATTATTTGAAAGGCAGAGTGACAGAGGAGAGAGGGAGAGAGAAAGAGAAAGCGAGCACCTCTCTGCTGGTCTCTCCATAAATGGCTGCAACAGCCATGGTAGGGCCAGGCTGACGCCAGGAGTCCAGAATTCCATCCTGGTCTCTCACGTGGGTGGCAGGGACCCAAGCACTAGAACCATCTTCTGCTTCCTTCCCAGGTAGCATTACGCTGCATCAGAAGCAGAGAAGCCAGAACTCAAACTAGCACTCTGATATGGGATGCAAGCAGCAACTTAACTACTGTGACAAAAACTTGACCTAAAGAAGGGGTTTTGAAGCATGTCTCTGACTTAGAATTCAGTTTTATAGCCAAACAGCCATTTGAAATAGCAGATAAAATCAATGATGTAATCGTCTGTGAACCACACATGGAACTCTTTCAGATTGATTCTTTGTCTTATATTTCTTTTTTTTTACTACAAATAATAATGCAAATAAGATTATTATATTATAAATAATGTGTCTTTATGTTTATTCCCCCAACAAATGCACATATTGTTAGGAATTCACATATTATTAGGAACACACTTATGTGTTCTCAAGTTCAAAGCTCAATTTAAACACTGAAAAATTAACATTCATGACATACTCTAGGAAAACATTAACATTCCATATATATAAGATAATATGGCAGGACAGATTTCTTGATAACCTGCAGAATCATAAAACAGCAAGAAAAATGTTAATAATTCTGAGTAAAATAGAACTTAAAGCAATTTCCTCTGTCTTGATTAGCGGTATGCATATATGAAATTCTGTTTGGCAAAGATGCAGTCACTTTAGTCAGGGGTGGATACTAGCATCAGATGAAAAAACTAACTTTCAGTGAAAATCAGACAGGGCATCATCAGAGTGCTGGGATTAAGAGGTGTGTCTTATGCAATGTTCATTTGGGGAGAATTATAAGTAGTTTATCAGTGTATTCATAAAATGTTGAAATCGTATCGACTGTGGTTGTCTGGAAACAACATGTTTCTAAGGCTTTTCCTGAGTGGCTTTTTGTAGCAGGGGAGTATCAGAGAGCATTGGCTCCTGTTACTGCCACCACAGATTGGTAAGCAGCTATTGAAAATGAGGGAAACCTCAGCTTGGTAATAGTCTGGGCTATGTCCATAGGAGAAGTAGGCAGACCTTCAGTAATCATCTAGCTAAGTCAACCACAAAAGTGAAACAAATCAGATAACTTAAACTCAAAATGAATTGCTCTGGAGTAATTTGCCTGCAAGCTAGTGCCTTAACAGAACAGATATACCTATTATGCAATGCAGATTTCTTCACTCAATTGCAGGGTATTTCTGTGAGCATCCAGTGCAACCTTTATGCTGAAGCTGACGTTGAACACTTCCAGGACTTGATCACTCACTAATTTACTTCCATTTTTGAGTGTGATTTGCCCAGAGAAGACACAATACTAAGTGGAAAGCCTTATTTAAAGCTAAACTTTAATTTTATATATCTGAGCTGGTCCATTTTCTCTGACAGTGCACTTGCACACTTCAGTATTGTACTGTGCTGAAAACTGCCTTGGGATGTGTTTGCGTCAAAGGTGCTATAGAAGTTTATTTGTATTGTACTCAAAGTAAATGCATTCTCTCCAGATTGCAAGCACAATCAATAAGATGAATGAGTTTCTTGAACTCATTTAGTGCCATGTCTATAATAGTCCCATTACCAGGTCCCCATGTAACTTGGCAACTTTTTATTGGGGGTGGCCTCAGGACTGACTAGCAAGGAGAAAATACTACTGCTTGCCGTGGTACTTTGTGTGGTACCTGATGTTCCTGGCAGGCTGTGATTGAAATGGGTCTCACTGCACAGTCCTCTGAAACACCTTTTTCTAAGATCTTTGTCCTTTTGAAAAGTGCTTCTGCCTTATTGCTGAAAGACTTTTGTATAAGAAAACGGCAAAGCCTGACTTGAAAATCTAGTTCGATTCCACGCTTTAGGATTGCCTCTGTATTTCCAAACCAGTTAACATTTCATTTCCTACCTGGATATTTCGATGGAAAATAGTTTTGGCTGCTTTCCTGTTCTATGTGTGTACTGCCCAAGGGATAGTGTGTTGATGTAGGCTAGGGGGACAAATACTGAAAGAGTAAACCGTAAGCTGAGGTTCCGTGTTTGAGTTGCCAAAAGAATGGATTCATTCAATTTGGTTCACTACAATGATTTCCCTCATAATTGAAGACACTTTGTGTATAAAAAGTCAAGCCCAAAGCTTTCTGACCTAAAGAAAAACTAATGGATTTTAATATGATCCAGGAAGGAGAGCTGTACATACTGGTCAAATGTTGGGGCCAGTTTTATGCTCCAGTGGGTTAGGCTGCAGCTTGCAATGCCATCTGCTCATGTATTGGAAGCACCAGTTCAAGCCCTGGCTGCTCTAATCAAGCCCCTGCTAATGTCTCTGAGAAAGCAATGGAGGATGGCCCAAGTACTTAAGTCCCTGTCACCCATATGAGAGATCTGGATGGTGTTCCTGGTTCCTGGCTTTGATCTTGGCCCAATTCTAGCTATTATGCTTTTTGTTAAGTGGTGGAGTAAACTCTACTGGGTTGTGCTCCTTGGTCCACACATCCACTCACTAGCTGAGATAGCCTTAGTCTGCTAAGTTATATATAAATCACTTAAAACTACATGCACATTTTTGGATCTGTGTACAAGTGTGGATTTTCCTGGGAATTAAGTGCTTGGTTTTCATCAAATTCCTAGAGTTCAATTGGCCTTACACAGCCAACTATTTTCTAATTTTCTAAGAAAATAAAAAAAGAGATAGAAACGCATTCCTTTTTTTTTTTTTTTTTTTGCAACCTTGATGGGATTGTATTGGAATCCCCTGGCGCGTTTCTAACTCCACCATTTGGGGCAAGTCTGATTGAGCATGTCCCAAATTGTACATCTCCTCCCTCTCATATTCCCACTCTTATATTTAACAGGGATCACTTTTCAGTTAAAATTTAAACACCTAAGAATAATTGTGTGTTAATTACAGAGTTCAACCAATAGTATTAGAACAAAAAAAATACTAAAAGGGATAAAGTATTACATTGTATTTCAACAGTCAACAAAATGGAAGTCTCTCCTCTCTTTAGAGAAAAGTACATCTTTCTTTGATGGCCACTTCTTTCCACTGGGGTCTCACAGAGATCCTTCACATAGAACATTTTTTGCCACAATGTATTGGCTTTCCATGCCTGAAATGTTCTCATGGGATTTTTAGCCAGATCAGGATGACTTAAGGGCTGATTCTAAGGTCAGAGTGTTACTTAAAGCAATTGTCATTCTATGAGTCTGCTATGTGGGCTGCTTAAAATGTTGGAACATTCTTTCCTTTTTAATACTATCTCCTGTTGTAATATTTCTTTTTAACCTAATTTGCATTTTTGGACTACTATTGGATTTATTTATTTTTTAAATGTTTATTTATTTATTTGAAAGTCAGAGTTACACAGAGAGAGGAGAGGCAGAGAGAGAAAGAGAGAGAGGTCTTCCAGCCAATGGTTCACTCCCCATTTGGCGCAATGGCCAGGGCTGCATCGATTCGAAGCCAGGAGCCAAGAGCTTCTTCTGGGTCTCCCATGTGAGTGCAGGGGCCCAAGGACTTGGGCCATCTTCTATTGCTTTCCCAGGCCATAGCAAAGAGCTGGATCTGAAGTGGAGCAGCTGGATTTTGAACTGGTGCCCATATGGGATGCCGGTGCTTCAGGCCAGGGTGTTAACCCACTGTGCTACAGCACCCGCCCCTACTAGTGGACTTAAATACCTTGTAAAATACCGACCATATGCAATTACTTTCCTAGGACTTTCCTATTCATATTCTTTTCCCATTTTCCTACTGATTTCCTTGTCAACTTATTGCTTTTATAAGTCTTTATATGTTTTAGCTTATTAACCATTTAGTTTTTGTCTGCAGATAAAAATGTCAAAATTATTTTCCAAATATCTGATTTTATATTTTATTTTCATTATTTGTAAGGAAGGGAGACAAATGGAGGATGTGAGATATATATATATATATATATATATATATATATAGAGAGAGAGAGAGAGAGAGAGAGAGAGAGAGAGAGAAACATAGAAATCTCTCATTCACTATTTACTCCCCAAATACCCACAACAGCCAGGGTTTAGTCAGGCTAAAGCTGAGGTGGGGAATCCAATCCTGGTCTTCCATGTGGAATAAATACTTGAGCCATACTGAAGAGCTGCTTCCCCGGGTGCACAACAGCAGGAATCTGGAATTGAAGGTGGAGCCTGTACTCAAACTCACACCTTCTGTTTTGAGACATGAGAAATTTTACTGGCATCTTAACTGCTCTGCTAAATACCTGTCCCATTTTGACTTTTTATAGTAACTTTGACTACAATGTAATTTTAGAAAACAATTAAATGCATATAGCTTTTATTGAGATTTCTCAGTTCAGAATTCTACCCCAAACTGTAGAGTTTTTATAGCAAAGGTTTAACAGAAACTTTACCAGTCTTCACAGCAAAGAACTGGAGAGCCAAGTTTGGGTGAGGCTGCTTTCTAATATCTATCTTAAAACCTTAATCTGTTTTTCAAATGTGTTACTTTATTAAGGAGTAAAATGATTAGCAAAAGATGTTACCCCAAGTTTACTTCATTGGTCAAAAATTTATTATTAGGGCTGGCTCTGTGGTGTAGTGGGTAAAGCTGCTTCCTGTAGTGCCGGCATCCCATATGGGTGCTGGTTCTAGTCCAGGCTGCTCCTCTTCCAATCCAGCTCCTTGCTATGGCCTGGGAAAGCAATAGAAGATGGCTCAAGTCCTTGAGGCCCTGCTCCTGTGTGGGAGACCCAGGAGAAGCACCTGGTTCCTGGCTTCCAATTGGTGCAGCTCCAGCCATTGCTGTCATGTGGGGAGTGAACCAGTGGATGGAAGACTTCTCTCTCTCTCTCTCTCTCTGTTTCTGCCTCTCTGTAACTCTGCCTTTCAAATAAATAAGTCTTTAAAAATTTATTATAAAAAGTTTATTCCCTTCTGAAAACATGGAAGGTTCACCCCAGTTCTGGTGAGTCTCTCAAGGGTATCTAGGATGTCTGTGGTATCTCCTTTAGGAACTTATGCTGCACCAGCACATTGAAAATCATCTGGGCACCATTAATATTGTCTTCCCTACTCTTTCCCTGTGGTTTTTGCCTTGCATGGATCTCAGTGTTTGCTTCTGCCAGGTTTCTGGGGATACAATTTAGAAAGTATGTGTAGAATCTTTACTCGGGTATTTTCAAAGGAATGTGTGTTTGTTGTGGTAGGGAAAGAAACAATTCTAGATTATTAAATACAGACTTTCACAGATTATCATGGACCCAATATATTGATCAATATTCTATTCATTCAACAGTTTTAAAACTACATTATTTATAAACAAGCTACTTTATTGTTTTTATAGTTCTTTGGGTCCATCTACAAAGTATCTGTATCTTTTGATAATAGTTGAGATTACTTTTTGCTCCCAATAAATAGAAATGTATGAAATCCATTGTGAAAATTTCTTAAAAATAATTGTTGGCAAGACTCTTCTCTAAATGTTGAACAAGAACAGAAACAATAAAAACAGTAAACCTAATTACTGTACCATCTTTCTTTCTGTAAGTACAGATATTGACAGTCTCATTTTTCCCCTTATTTTTTGAGCTTAAAAATAAAGATATGAGCAAGAAGAAGTTAATGCAATGAAAACATCTTAGGAATGTAGCCACAGGAGGAATACATGGAAGTGCTTGCCACCTGCAGAATGCTAGGGAGATTGATCATGCAAGACTCACCTAACAATGTCTTGGAAGGGTGTTAAGACATCTAAGGTCCTGTCCCTCCCAATGTTTCAGAGTAGTACAGAGATCTAAACAGAGACTGATTTGTTTCAGAGCCTAATAAAAATGGAGTTTAGGACGAGGGCTCAAGCTTGTTCCTGGAAATGCAGCTATGGTATTCAATATCCACATTACAATAATTCCAAGATCAAAGGCAGCTTGATTTTTGGACATTCCCTACCCTTGTGAAATATGCTAAGAGACGTACAGTGTGAACCTGTGCATTCACAGATCAGTCTTTCTGGTGTCATCACCATAGCTAGAGTCAGAGGTCTTTCTTTTCTTTCCAAGATACCCACAGATGTCACCTACTATCCTCAGTGCTGGCTGAAGGAGTAACGTCCTTGCCACTGTCCCATTCCATAAGACCCATGCCAAAGTTTCTCCAAGGCCTCCACTTCTCCATGCTGCCAAAGCTGCTCTTCTTTGAACACAGGACTCTACCCATTTCTTTCCTGTGGAGGTGGACACAAAGACTCTGTTGAGTACTATGCTGACCCAGGGTGTTGAGTGTGGGTCCAGCAGCACTGGTGATCAGATTCCAAGTTATGCCCTCAGCTTTGGCGTAATCCCTGGCTTTGGATTTTTTTTACTGACATCAGCTGGAAGAAATAAGCTCCTCATGTGAACAATTAATAGTGTTTAGAGCACAGTGGTCTCAATTCATCCTTGACACTCATTCTCCCTACTGATAAAAACAGCCACAACACAAGCATAGATATAATATTGCCTGCTTATTTAGATGGTTTTCCCCATTCTTGTACACAGCAGTTTTTCTCCTTGGAGTCACAGATATTGGCTGCTTTTCATTTGTATAACTAAATAACTCATTCAAATAGATTCCCAGAACAAAGGAATGCTGTGTCTCAATATTTTTTTTAACCTGTAGTAAACAGAGCATTGCTCTCAGTTTTGAATTCTTTTTCCTTCTAATTCTCTATTCAAGCATCAAAGAAGCTCAAAATGCCTCAGCTTTTTCCTTTCTCCCCTCAGAATCTCTCTACAGAGAAAAAATTCTCTGGTTTGATTTGAGATTAACCCTGTGAATATGGCCAAGGACAATTAGCATCCATCTTTGTTTAAATAAAAAATTTTCTGGCTTTACAGAAGCATAATTTATAAAAATCACACATATTAAACGTACACAATGTGATGTTTGGATACATATACATTGTAACATAATTGCTGCAATCAAACTAAGATTCATCACCTCATAGTTACTTTTTAATGTGTGATAAGAATACTTAAGATATAACCTCTTAGCACGTTTCTAGTATAGAATACACTATTACCTCTAGGTAACATGGTGGACATTCTGTTTCCAGAACTTACTCACCAGATGACTTCAAATTTGTGTCCTTTATTAATTTATGTATTTGAAAAGGGAGAGGGAGAGAGAAAGAGAGAGAGAGAGAGAGAGAGAGAGAGAGAGATGAAAAAGAATACTTCCATCCACTGGTTCATTCCCTGAGTGTCTACAACAGCTGGGGCTGGAACAGGCAAAAGCCAAGTCTCCCATGTAGATGACAGGACTCAACTACCTGAGACATCCCCTGTCTCCCAGGATGTGCATTAACAAGCAGAATCCGCAGCAGAGCTGGCACTCAATTCTGGGCACTCCATTATAAGATGTGAGTATCCAAAGCAGTGGCTTAACTATTACATCAGATGACTGCTCCAGATTCTATCATTTACTTAACATTTTTGCATCCCCCCCATAGACTCCTGGAAATCACCCTCTGGTCTGATGCAGTATTTATCTGTGTCTGACTTATTTCACATAAGCATAATGTTCCCAGGTTCAGTCCTTCTTTAAATGAGTTAATATGAAACTGCTTCAAAAAATTCAAGGAAAAATAGAATTAAGAATATTTATTTTAAAGCAAAAATTTTGAAATTGATGCATTTTTTTCATAGACACGTTTTCCATGAAATGTTTGAACACCCTCTATACGTGGAAAGTGCTTAGAACAGAGCATAGTACCAAACAGTGATCAGTTAATTTCAGCCCTTACTATTCTCTTTGCTCATGTAGCTCTCTTTCGGAAATCCCTGGAACATCTTACCACATCCTTGCTATTCTACTCTCTTACATGCATTATGTAAAGGAATAAGATCCAGCTTTAAGGCCAAGTTACGGAGACGCAAAAGGTGGGCTAATTTTAGTGTTCAAAACTTACTATAGTTTTTGTCATGTTCCAGAAACTACTAGAAAGAGATATTTTATCATGAGGTAGCACACACAGTTAGGAAGTTGGCTCGCAGTTTAGATACCAGGATGGGGCTGTCTTTCCAGATCACATGTCTACAGTGCCAAGACATTGCTCTGGGCTATGGGTCAGAACTGAAGCTCTGGACAGCCAACAGGACCCTGAATGCTATGTCACAATTCCACAATACAGATAAAGGGCAGAGGCCCAGTCCTTTGCATCAGATCATCCCTGGAGCAAAACAAAATGTAGCAGAATTCCAAGTCATGCAATCTGGTTCAAATGCCATCTCTGCATCTTACTCGATGTGAACCTTATACAAGGCAGCTTGTTGTAGTTCATCTACGAAGAAAGGATGTTTATAGTAACTTCCTCAGAGGCTTGAGGTAAGCTTACATATGTGTTATGCATAAAACATGGTAGAATAGTGTATCACATATTGGAAATATGAACACTTGTTCATATGTTAACTATTATGGGGTCCAGAGATAGGACCTGGGGCTTGTGAAAGAGTTGTCCAGATCTGTGCTTTAATTATGTGCTTCGTAGCACAGATCATTAATCTACCAAATATTTCACTTATTTGGCATATTTATTTTCTGAATGTAAGCTCTACAAGGACATAATTTTTGATCGATTTTGTTCAGTTTTGGTGCTGTTATCATCAGCATGTCTAATTAGTTCTGGTAAATAGTAACTGCTTTGCTCTGGCCTCAGAATCAGCCCTGAAAGCATGTGGATCTGGCTCTAGAGCCCATGAGAGTATTTTAGGCATGGAAAGCCAAGAACTCTGGCAAAAAAAAATGACCTAAATGAAAGATCTTTGCGAGTGAGATCCCAGTGGAAAGAACGGGTCATCAAAGAAGGAGGTACCTTTCTCTGAAGGGAGGAGAGAACTTCCACTTTGACTATGACCTTGTCTAAACATGATCAGAGTCGGTGAACTCAAAAGGCTTCCATAGCTGTGGCAACTCATGACTGGAGCCTAGGGAGATTACTGATGCCATAAACAAGAGTGTCAATTTAAGAAAACAACAGGAGTCACTGTGCACTTACTCCTCATGTAGGATCTCTGTCCTTAATGTGCTGTACATTGTGATTTAATGCTATAACTAGTACTCAAACAGTATTTTTCACTTGGTGTTTCTATGTGGGTGCAAACTGTTGAAATCTTTACTTAATATATACTAAACTGGTCTTATGTATATAAGAGAAATGAAAATGAATCTCGATATTAATGGAAGGGGAGAAGGAGCGAGAAAGGGGAGGGTTGCGGGTGGGAGGGAAGTTATGGAGGGGGAAGCCGATGTAGTCCATAAGCTGTACTTTGGAAATTTATATTCATTAAATAAAAGTTAAAAAAATAGTAAGTGCTTTGGTTGAATGAATGGTTAAATGAATTAATTAGTGGATGAATTGTGACAGCACTTCTACTTATCCTATAGAGGCACAGCTGTACACCTAACTGGAAGGATCAGAGGTGGGGAGGGAAAGAGAAATGCACTCTCTTGGTAGGAGAGCCTAATGCATCTATCACAGAGATGAAATTTTGCCTAGGGTACAATATTTCCATTCAGCTGTCCTCATCCAGAGTTAGGCTAGTCATAGTCATAACCGAAGATTTTGAGTATCAACTACTTAATCACTAGTGTAATGTGTTTGTTGAGTATTGAACCTGAAATGTTGAATCTTCAAGTCTAAGCTTGAGAAGCAATGGTGGCTATCACAGGAAACTGCATTCTGAATGGAACAAGCTGTTGAAGAGTCTCCATTATTGCTTCATCTGTTGATGCCAACAGCGTCTTCTCCAGAAAATGTGCAATTTCTGCTTTAGTCTACGTCTTATTAGGGCATGGAGAATATCTACTCCATTGTAGAAAATCTACTCCAGCACCTTCTGTAATTGCTATCATATAGGAGGTGGCCACAGTTATTTGATTGACTAAGATGTAAATTATAATGAATAATCCGATTTTGGTGTTACCTTGAAATGAGACAAATGCTTTCACATAGCAGGGTATTAGTGGTAAAAGCACTGGCTTAGAAAGAAGACTTTGGTTTCAGTTGAGCAAATTGTGAGAAGTTGACTAAATTCCTTAATCTCTTCAAAATTTTTATAAATATGTATGAGGTTTAAATAAACCATAAAACTACAGTTCTCAATTTAAGGATGGAAAGCATCACTTATTTTCATTGTTTACATGATTTCCAAGGTAAGTGACCTGAAGTATCCAAAATTACTATTTTTGTTATATAAATGGTAGTTTAAAAAATCCATTAAATACTTTACCCATTTACCTTAAAGTTGTGATTATAATTTGTGTTTTACTTATGGACTGTAAGAGTTATGTAAATTTTACAAGCTGCAAAATGCTGTCTAAATGTAGTCTATTATGTTGCACTTAAACTTTATTTATTTCTCCAATTATAAATTAAATTGCAAAAGTTTTGGCTTAATCCCTTTCAAAGTTTTTATTTGTTCTGTTTTTGAAACTGTGACGTTGCTGCATTTAGGTTTTTACAAAATTATTTTTGTCTTTTTTGTACGTATCTTTTTGTAACCCATGACACTTAGGCTGTTATTTATTTATTTTTTTAAAGATTTTATTATTTATTTGAGAGGTAGACTTACAGACTGTGAGAGGGAGAGACAGAGAGAAAAGTCTTCCATCCGCTGGTTCACTCCCCAAATGGCCACAATGGCTGGAGCTGGGCCAATCTGGAGCCAGGAGCCAGGACTTCTTCTGGGTCTCCCACTTGGGTGCAAGGGCCCAAGTGCTTGAGCCACCTCCACTGCTTTCCTGGTCCATAGCAGAGAGCTGGGCTGTTATTGTTAAATACATTTTATAGGATACACCTATTCCAAATAAATAACTCAATAGGATGCTCATTTCTGCCCATTTCTTGACCGTTTTGCTTATCTATGTAACAAATGCCTGTTCAAAAAATTTAACAACACTGTTTAAAATCTCAGATGACACGATACAAAATTAGTTTGAACTACAGATTTTGAATATTTAATGAAACATTAATGAATAAATCCAACCAACCAAATAAAAAACATCCAATTTATTACTTAGGCAGGTCTGAAACAAACAAACAAGAACCCCCCTTCATTTCAAATTGCTAGTCTTTTCATTTGCACCATTATGGTTAAAAACTTGTCAGTGATTCCATTAGGAACCCCATAGAAAGCTTCTTTCTATTTAGCCAAAAAAAAAAAAAATTCTGATTTAAGAGTTTTT